AAGATGAAATAAAATTAGACACAAAACTTATGGGGGTGGTGTTGAAATCTAGTGTGGTGGAAATGTCCTGGGACCTGTGAGAGTAACTCAGGTGAGGACTGTAATGGAGGATACAGCGCCTGAAGCCAGCCATCTTCTGTAACCATGCGAGTCTCCCAGTCGTGGGAGTAGGACACCAACAGAGCTACGAAACATTTGACCACACCTGTCCTGCCTGCATGATGTGCTGGGGCAATGGTAGCTCAGAGCTTGTGGGCATGGCCAACAATGATAGGTCTAATTTGAGGCCCAAGCCACCAAGAGAGACCCCAGCATGGGAATGGACTAGGTCCTCTGCATGGTGAGACAATTGTGTAGCTTGATCTGCTTTGGGGGGCCTCCTGGCGGTAGGATCAGAATCCATCCCTGGTGCGTGAACAGGATTTTGGAGTCCAATACCTATGATGAGACACCTCATGCAGTCTTGAGGCAGGGGGAGGGGTTTGGACTTGCCTCTACTGGATGTGCCTCCCCATGGGAGGCCTTGGCTTCTTATTGGGGAATGGAAGGGTAGGTTGGGAGGGGGAGGCTGGGGGGGCGGGAGGAGGGAAGAGCGGTATCTTTGATTGGTGTGTAAAATGAATGAAAAAGTTTTCTCACTAAAAAAATAAATTAAAATATATATGTATATATAATAAATTAACGTGAACTTAATAGTGAACATTAAAAAAGGTAATGTTTTTTTCTCTTTGTTAGTCAATATTCTTAATGATGTTCCAGTTCTGTCAGATAAAGTGTAATTGAATTTTTTCTCCATGGCACCATGGCAACCTTGTTATTTTTAGCACATTTGTTTTAATTAAAAGTGGTATTATCTGATTTGGTTACTGAAAAAGGAGATCAGAAGTCACACCCAGACTTTTGTTGCAATTGGTTTTTCCTTTTCATTTTTTCTTCTTCTTAAATGAACTAACTTCCCATAAAGAGATCAATGTGGCAAAATTAGATATTTTGGTAGACAAAAATAGATATCCTTAAAGTGGAAATCCAATTGTAACACAATATAATCAAAATTTCCTGAACTGGGGTATTGATAACGAAGAAATATAACAATGGGATAATCAGAAGGGGAATCAGTAATGAACAATGAGGAGCATATTTCTGTGGAGAGTTTGCTTTCTCTCTGCCATGACTGCAAGATGCAACCCAGAGTCCAGGCAATGCCCCATTCTAGGAAGATCACTCCCATGGCTCCTGCTGTTCAGTGGCCTGAGCTTTATGTCCAGGGTAATTTCACAGGATTCTATTTTATGGGACAGATCAAAAATATTGAAATAAGGAATTAATTTTGCTTTCATGATATTTTATAAAATGGGCCCTAATTTTTTGTCTTTTTGTTTGGGTGTAATGATATGTTACCTATGTTTATTAATATTGGGGAAACTATTTTAGAATTCATCACAACTAAAATCTCTTAAGCATCTACCATAAAAGCACAAGTACCTTTAGAAAGAGGTTATTCCTGTCTCCACGTCTGAATTAGTATCACATATCTCTAGGCAGCAAAGTGCAGGATTATTTTACTGTTGATAATAAAGTTATAATAGTCACCATTTATTGCACACTTTAACATAAATTAGTCTCCTGTCTAGTACTTTGCATGCAATACCTCATTTAACGTGCATGATAGCTAAATAGAATATCATGGCTCCCATAACTATTTTAGGAGTATAATTTGTACTCAGTGAAGTACATATATGTTGTAAAACTTAAAACATTTTAAATATATGTTCACAAATACATACATACGTATACATGCTTAGGAAATCATTATTACAGTCAAGATAATGAACATAGCCATAATCCACAAAACCTTTCTTAGTGAGCATCTGAATCCATTTGTTCATCACTATTACTTTTTCTGCTCCATTCAGTATTGTCAGGTATTCACTGACTTGATTTCTGTCTTTATAGTTACGATGTAGAGGGACTTGACTCTGTATACACTACTATTGCAAATAGAAAATGGTGCTTAGCCTTTGGAAAGCAACGTTTCTTAAATTATTAAGCCTACACCTACCATGTGATCCAGGCATGATTCTAAGGAGACTTGTATGTGACTATTTATAGCTCCCTTGCACAATATTATGTAAGTTATATTCCAAGGGATCCCATTGCAAATATAGCTTGAATTAGACAGACTCTAAGTAAAAGAAAAAAAGACCAATTAGAAAGCATAGCAATAATTCACACAAGGGATGATGATAGATGAATCAGTTTAGCCTATGTGATAGTCAAGTGGAAAGAAATGAAGAGATTCCGAGTAAAATTTTAAGGACAGGTATTAATGAAATTTCTGGTATACTGTATGGCTGTTATAAGATAAAACTAAAGCCCTCTCATAGGCATTAGCTCAACAACCATAAACAATGAGTTGTTAACTGAAATAAGCTTTTGGAGGAAAAGGCTAGAGGAAAGGGAGGCTGGGAATTTGTTGGAATACATCAGACCCAGATTGGAAAGAAGAGCTGGCAGAATTAATCACACAAACATTCATCAGAGAGGCAGCAGCTTTTTGAGCAATCTCTCAATGGCTTCTGGTAGCTTTGCTGACAGGAGGAGAGAAGACTGAACCCTCTATCAAACACAGGGAAGCATGGCTTAGATTAGATCCTGAGCATTTGAAAGTGTGCATGAAATGTGCTAAAGAATAGGGAGAGGCTAGGTAACAAGGAGGGCTCAAGGGGGACACTTGGATCTCCCTGGGACAGGAAACAGAAGAGATTTCGTGGGTGGACTGGGGGTGGGTGGGAAGGGGGAACATGAGATTTCAGGTAGGGTGTGTGTGGAGAGAGTATTGAAAGAGCTGACTAGAAAGGGGGTCATTTCAAAGTCAGGTAGAAACTTAGTGCATGGGAAACTTCCAAGCATCTACAGGAATGACCCCAGTAAGAAGCTTAGCAAAGGGGGATATATAGTCTGAACTGGTTCCCTCCTGTGACCAGGCAAGACTGCCAGTGGAGGGACTGGGTCAAAAACCAGGCCACATAACCTTCGACCTATAGCCTGTCTTGCATATGGGATGTGCTCAGACAAGGATGACACAGAGATTGTGGGAGTGGCCAGCCAATGGCTGGTCCAGCCTGAAACTCCTGCCACAAGAGTAAGCCCACCCCTGGAACTGCCTGGAATGCCAGAACCCAGAGGCTTGATGCCCACAGACCTAAGATAGAACCAAACACAACTGGGGAAAAAAAAATCAATGTAATGATGCCTAACAATATTCTGCTATACTCATAGATTGGTGCCTAGCCCAGTAGCTATCAAAGAGGCTTTATACAGCAACTGGTGGAAAGAGATGCAGAGACCCACACTCAAACATTAGGCTGATATCATGGAATCCTTCTGAAGAGTGGGAGGTAGAACTGCAAAAGCCAAAGGTCAAGCACATCACACACACACACACACACACACACACACACACACACACACACACAAAAAAAAAAAAAAGTCTGTAGACTCTTGCAGATACTAAGAGACCACAGGTGTCATCCCAGACTAATGTACTCCTCAAAGCTTTCAATCACTATAGAAGGAGAAAACAAGAAATTTCATGACAAAGTCAAATGTAAATAATGTCTATAGCCGGAATGTTTCTCAGTCCCGCCCGGCCCTGCAGTCACGCAGACACTTATAAAATAATCACCCCAAGGCTTGCATTAATTACAAACTGTATGGCCTATGGCTTCAGCTTCTGGCTAGCTAATTCTTTCATCTTAAATTAACCCATTCCTATTAATCTGTATGTTGCCACCAGTCTTATGGCATCTTGTTGCTCCTTTGGCGGCAGCTGGGGGCTCTCTTGACTCTGCTTGAATTTCCTGTCTATGAGCCTTCTCGCCATAGGCCAAAACAGCTTTATGTATTATCCCATGGGAGCCACACATATTCACAGCATACACAAAGATATCTCACAGCAAATATCTATCCACAAATCTAGTCATCAGAGAGGCCTCATCCAGCAGCTGGTGGAAACAGATGCAGAGACTCACAGCCAAACATCAGGCCGAGCTCCAAAAAAAACCTGCTGAAGAGAGGAAGGAAGGTATGTAGGAGCCAGAGGGGTCAAGGACATTACAAGAAAAGCCACAGAATTAACTAAGCAGGGCTCATAGGAGCTCACAGAGACTGAACTGACAAGTGTTCCTGCATGGGACTGACCTAGGTCTTCTGCATATAACTGGCAGTTGGGTAGCTTGGTCCTCTTGTGGGACTCCTAACAGTGGAGCAGTGGCTGTTTGTGACTGCTTCACTGGCTTTGGGGAATTTCAGAAAATCTGTATGTTAAGGAAATCATGCAGCCAGGGAGGAAAATATAATGAAGAAGAGCAGGGTACTGGCAATGCAATGTGCTTGACTGAGCATTCAAAGATCAAGAGGAAGGACTGTCATGCTACAGGAGTAAAGCAGTGGGAGTTGGCGTCAGTGTGAAAAAAAAAATACAAGCCAATGTATGTAGTAGTGAGAGATTTCTGAAGCTTTTATCTGTCTACTTTCTAAATAAAAAAGCAAATGTGACCATCAGTAAAAGTACAAATGGTGAAAAGGCATTTTCAGGTTTATTTATCGAACAAAAGAAAAGAAAAATGTGTTCCACAACTACCTAGAAGGGCAAGGAGTGAGCTAGTCAGAAGTGTGTAGTGTGGTCTGCTGTAGCATAAAGAGTCCACAGAGATGAGAGTCATGAAGGAATTTGAAGGCAAGCCAAAGCCGTTTTTCTCCAGCCTCATTCAGCTGCTTGGATGAAGGTGCTGAGGAGGCAGCGGTAAGAACAGTGGCCCAAAGTAATGAGAGGAAAATCAGAAAATCAAGGGGAAAAGAAAAAAACTTGGGAAGGTGGCGTTTCTCTTTGTTTTCAGTAATGTGAGACCTATGGCAGCTAGCAGATGTTTTACAAGGGAAGCAGTTTAGGAGACAGGTGTAGGATAGCATGAGGTATAAAGTATAAAAACAGCACAAACCTGTTATGTTTTGCTATTAACCGAGACTTGGTAAATCCCACTGAAGTGCTGAAGGTGTGTGCCCACAGTGGTTCTGCTGTCTGTTAGGGAGACTGACACTTGGCACTTACGGCTGCCCTCTCCCTGAGAATGGTTTGAAATACGTTCAATCAGAGATCTTCTCTTGTTTGCTGGTACTTTAAACTCTCCAGCCATCTGACTATCTACGGCTGTAACGGTCTATGCTGTAATAGCCATATCTTACTCTATTTGGTCATTCCAAGACCATTGTTATTTTCCCAACTGTCAGAACTGAATATTTTATCAGGGAAAGAGAAGTGTGCTTAAGGGCTTCTGTGGGAATTTTCATTTTCCTGACTGACTGTCTTGGCTGGGCTAGTAAGGTATAGGAGCTATGCCTCTCCCCCTATACAGCGATTTGCTCCAGAAACCCAGAATTGCATCCTGAATGGATCATGCCTCCCATGGCCAGAGACAAGAGCACATGAACAAAGAAAACAGTGTTGTGTGGTGTGTCATCTGTCATTCGAAAAACCAAGCTGCTTTGGTGAATGCAAACAGTGCAGTTCTCAGAGCTCTGTGGAAAGAGCAGCATCTCTGCTCAGACACATACAGGATTCTCTCTCTTACTCTGTGTGTGTGCGTGCGTGTGTGCATGTGCGTGTGTACGTGCGTGTGCAGATCACCCAGCCCAGTGCACCTTCTAGTAATATCTTGAAAAGAGTAGCTGGCAGCACTCCATCTCTGCCTTTGCTTTGAGCAGACTGGCAGCTAGATGGCTATCTTTATAATGGCATTTGTTTAAAATAACTCTGTGGCATGAATTTGATTATAGTCAAGAAGAACCAGTCTTTTAAGAAATGGGAAACCGTGTCTGTAATCAACTGAATCAGTGTGGACTGTTTTAATACAGCCAGGTCTACCTCCTCTTCCCCTCCTCCCCCCACAGCCTCTTCCTCTCTTGCTCTCCACCTTCTTTACTCCTTCCTCCCCTCCCTTCCTTCTTCCCCTTACCTCACCCACTTCTGTCCGAAGATACACACAGAGCCACTGTACATATTGGGGTCATAGCACTTCATTACCATCTAAAAATGAAAAAAATGTATATTTTTAAATTATCTCTCTATTTGGAAGTTGGAAGGTTAACAGAGTCAAATCGATGAGTTTTCCATTAGGGACTCTCACTCCCTCTCTCTCTGCCTAATTGTCATAATATTCTAAGTTCCTTCAAGTCACTGCATAGTTCAAAACCTAATTTAAACTGCTCTTTCCTAGCTCTCAGCATGTTTACTTTCGCCTTTTAACAACAAAAACTACAGACATGACCTGGCATTGACCCAGATGATCCACTTTAAAAGGCTGAGAGCGCAAGTGACTGAGCAAAGCCGCCTCACAGGACGACAATGCCCCAAACGGATAAGCCAGACACAGCAGCATCCTTTCAAGGAAACAGGTTCCGATGGAGGATGCCTCACAAAGCTGCCTTCTGATTTCCTGCTTTCCTGATATGTGAACAGAATGTTTGACCAGGGCTCACGGGGAATAAGTGAGACTGGCTACTGTGAAGTGCAGGCATCTTCTCTTTGTATGTCAGGTAGGAACTACTCCTCCAGCCCCAGGTGGACCCTGGACATCACACAGGAGTGAAATGGTGAGGGACGGCTCATCTATAGAACTTAAGCATGTTAGCTTGTGGGAAGTAGAGGGGACCGTTACCAGTGACAACAGGGAGGACTGGGGAGGAGGTGGAGGCAGAGAGATTAGTCAAAGGGTGAGAAGTTTCGGTAAGAAGAACAATGTCTGACATTTAACAGTGTGGCAGAGTGACAATAGTCAACAATGGATATTTCAAAGTCACCAAGATAGGTGTCACTGCTCTCGAAGAAAAGTAATTACGAATGTTTGGGGTGACAGATGCACTAGCTATCCCAGTACACTTTAACATGTACGATGGTTAGATTAATTATCAGCTGGACACAAGCTAGAGTCATCTGGGAAGTAAGTGCTTTCTCAATGGAGAATTTAGATTAGGTTGAATTAAGGGTGTATCTATAGGGATTGGGATTTTGTTTGTTTGTTTTTGTTTTTATAACTTTTAGTTATTTCTTTTATTTTTTGAGATTATAAGTACAGAACTTCCCCCTGCCTTCCCTCACTCCACACCCTCCCAAATGTCCCTCCGATCTCTGTTTCAAATTCTTGGCATCTTTTTCGTTAATGTTACGTATTCATAAATCCGCATGTACACGTGTTCAGTCTGCATACTGTTACTTGTGTGAGAGACAGTTTTGATTGCCTTAATGACGTGGGAAGACCCAGCCTTACAGCAGGCGGTACCATTCCCTACTTTGGGGCCCTGGGCTATATAAGGGTAAAGGAAGCGGAGTATGAAGCATGATGCATTCGTTTCTCCCAGCTTTTTCCTGTGGACGTGATGTGACATATTGTATGAAGTTCTTCTATTGATTTCTCTGAAATAATGGACAAGAAACTTAAATTTATATGCTAAAAGAAACCTTAGTCTCCTCAGGTTTTAAATTCTTCTCTCGTATATTACATCCCAACCACAGTTTCTCCTCTCTCCACACCTCTCAGTCCCTCACTCCACTGCCTGTCTCTCTCCTGTTGTTTTCTGTCATAACATTTTATCACAGCAATGGAATTGAGACTAGAAAACCATATATATGATATATGATATATATATGTCATATATACCAATTTATACATAAGTTTATATAAATGAGTTTACATATATCATTTACATATAAATTTAAACGGTAATCATGTATCAATTTTAAAGCTATGAATTTAAGAGAAGAATCCTGGGGTTTTCCCAGCCTGTCTTTCATAGTATTCTATTGCGCTTTGGCACCATGCTATTCCCATTCATGTGTCCCCTCCAAACTACTGTGAGCCATATAATCTCCACACACATTTTTCACTTGGTTATTTAATAAGCATCAGAGCATTGGAGAACATCAAAGTACATCCATTTTACACAGAAGAGAACTGTAGGTAAAGTGGTTGCACAATTTGCTCAAAAGGTTTTACGATAACAATGTCCAGATCAAGGGGTATGTAAGCATTCCCAGCATAATAGAAGGCCAACAGGGTTTCATCAGAGGTTATAAGGTATGAGCTGTATAAGAGATGATTTAAAGGGCATTCTAGATTAATTCCTTTTCACTTTTCTTGTCCAGCACTCAAAGGAAACCCAGAGCCCCATACATGTTAGTTAAATACTCCAGTGCTAGAGTGCACCTCAATTCATAAGCAAAGCACTATTGCATCATCCCTGAACTATCAAATGGAAAATGATGACAAAAAGGCATACGAGTCTTCATATACGTAAAACTAAGTGTGCTTTTAATGATTTGAAAAGAAAGCAACAACGAATCCATCATTACACTCAGTTCTTTGAGCAAGTATCCACCACATAAGATCCAGGTAGCAATCTCTGGACGTGTGAGCTATGCAATCAAGAAAATTCTCCTAACAAGACAGAGCACTAATGCTGAGGAAACATTGCCAACTCTGCTTTCATTGCACCAATACAATGCTATTATGAAGATTCAGAATTCTAGAATAAAACAGTTGAGCTTAGTCCACACTCTCTGACACATTTTTTTCATTTTTCACATAATTATGATAATAACATATCCAAGTACTGGTGTGAAAACTAAATCATACATTCAAATCAGTGAACACCAGGTATGAGACACAAGTGCTTATAGAAAGCTAATTGCTAATATACTGGTTATTGTTGTTGTCATTATTTTTGGATGCCACTGAAAGACTATATATGTTAGCTCTTGTCATTGAAGTGTGTGATGGTAGAATGAGAGGCAAGACTCATTGCAACTGTGCGCAGCAATGTGTTCCCCCCTGTGGAACAAAAGTTTTAGACAACACAATTTCTGCACTAATTTACTGAAATAAGAAAAAGTACAAAATGTTAGTTGATGTGATACAATAGATTTTTTTCTCATCTACACAAGCTTTTGTGGATTTTATCAAGACATAATAAAAAAATTCTTAAAATTTTTACCTTTGGTGAGGTCATTTTCAATAGATGATATTACTAAGTACTTAAGCTGTATAATAAAATTGAAGTGAAGTTTTTACTACCTGATGATTGACTCCCATGACAATACCATTTGCTATCCCCTAATTATCAACTTGAAGTGTTCTTAACAATTACACACAGAGGAAAAAATGTTCAAGAACACCTTGTTTAGACAATGTTCAGAACTGTGTTGACTGTGTAACTAAATCAATGCTTTACACCTAAAACTAGTTTGCAGTTCCCTCCATGGGGATTTTCAAGATCACCTTGTGTGGTAGTAGAAACTAGTCAAGGTGCAGAACTGCTAGCTTAGTGTTAATTGGTATTCACGTAACACATACTGCATAATACTGCATGGGTGATTTAAGACAAAGGCAATACTTTCACAATAATTAGCTCCTATAAGGCATGTTTAAATTGAGAATGATATGCATGAATGAAACTATCATTTGAACTATTTTTTAGCATGTTGAAAATAAGCCTAGATGACATCATAAAATGTAAAGCTTTGCTATGAACCTTAAGAACACCTAAGAAAACTGTAAATAGCAGCTATACTGTCAGAACAGACAAAAATCACTATATACTAATAAAAATGTCTGAAACATGGAATGTAGTTCAGTTGGTAGAAACTTTGCCTACACAAGGCCCATGATCACATAAAACTGAGTTTGATCGTACAATCTGTGATATCAGCTCTCAGAAAACAAAAGCATAAGGATTAGGATTTCATCCATAGATACAACGGATTCTGTTTTGAAATGCAAACAAATAAAATTCACAAAAAAACAAACAAAATAAGGAGAGTAATATCTAAGACTTGAAATTTAGACTATTTGTTGACAATTTTGATGTTTTAAGATGTTTTTACCTATATCAAACACATTCATCTTTTTAAAAATGTATAAGCATTCTCTACATATCAATCATTTCTTCCAGTAAAATTTGTCTGGGGGGATTGGAATTTATTAGGAAGGTAACATTTGAATAGAGATGTGGGGGATATGGTGGCAGACCCTGCAAAAGTGTAAAAAGAAGAAGGTTCTAGAAGGAGGATCATTGACAGTAAAGGCCAATGGGAGAGAGAGAGTTTGGTGCTTAGCAAGAAAATCAATGTAGCTACAAAGTCCAATTTTAATAAGGCCCTGAAAGTAAGTGTCAGATTTTTTTTCATAAGTGTGGACCAAATTAAAACAAAATAAATAGACTGTTTACCACATCCAGAGACATATAAAAATCATACACTACATACTCTATAAAATATCTATTTGATAGAATATCAAATTCATTTTTTAATGTCACTAGCTAACCTAGAATACAGCTGAAATAAGTCATAGTTGAAAACTATATACACTTCATGTATAGAAAATAATTTATAATTTGTCTTCAAAGAAATTTTTTGAAATGAAATAAAACTCCCATTTTTCCCTTGATTTAACAGAGCTACTTCATGCCCGATGACAAAGTTGGCAAAGTGGAGGCAAATGGGAAAAGGCAAGAGATAGTACAACCAGCTCTAGAATTCATAGAGAATATGCATTGTTACTTCGGCCCATTCATCTTATGGATGGGTAAATGACCGTGGGTAGAATCAAGATGGAAGTAACATTTCAAGACAAGAAGACTTATCACTCACTTCTGACTGTTGTTCACTATCATTGTTGATATGAGCAGGTTTTTATTTGTTTTTTTTTATTTTACTACCCACATTTGGAATTTCTTTATATTTGTTTGTTTGTTTGTTTGTACCAGCTTAACCTATGCTTTACTAAATATATTAAAACAGGAAATTGAATTAAACAGAATTCTTAAAATTGATTATTCACTATATAATCTTTAACCCTCTGCTGCTAATATTTTACTTATTAATGGCATTCCATGGAGAAATACAACTGCATTCCACTGTACATTTTTTATATAAGATAGAAATAAAGGGTCCATTCCCTCGTCAGCTTTTATTCTTAGTTCACATGATGAAAGAAGAAACAGCAGAATCTTTTAAAAAATAATTTGAAGAAC